CTGGATCCCGCTCCTGGGGTGGGGGTGGGGTGGGGGTGGGGTGAGTGGGACAGGAAGAGCCCAGTGGGCGTGGGTGGACTCAGAGCAAGCTGGCCAGGCCAGGGTGCTGCCTGACCCACATCTCTGTTGCTGGGCCAAGGCTGGGGGTGCCAGGACAATGGCTCCACAGGACCTGTCTACCTAAGCAGCGCCCTATGGGAATTCCAGGGCCTCAGTGATGGCGCCTCAGGAGACAAGCCACAGGTGCCACTGGGCCAGGCGTCCCTCCACAGCCCCTCTGCCTGTGCAGAGCAAATGTGACTTCATTTCCTCCCACTTCACTTCCCAGGACACCCTGCCTCTGCCATAGCCTTGACCCCAGGACGTTCCTCTGTCCGGGCTGCACTGCCTGCCTGGGCACTGTCCTGGGTACAGGTCCAGTGCCAGCATGGGGGGCGGAGAAGGGGGACATAAGGGCCACATACCCAGTATCAGAGCAGCCGGGCAGAGTGCCCCAGGGTGGGGGCCGGGCTGGGACCAGGCCACACCCAGACCCTCCACCCAGCCCTTTCACTGCATGCTGAAGCCTGGCCCATTTCCACATCTGGATCTGGCTCATGGCTCCCACCCACCCCGTCACCCCACACCTATCAGGCCAGGGCCCATATCTCTGCCCTCTGTACAAACCTTCGGCACTGTGTGGAACACCCTCCCACCCCATCAACCTGGCAAACTCCTGTTCATCCTTCAGAACCCCTACCAGCTGAGGCAGTGTGGACCTTGCCCTGTGCACACCTGAGCAAGGGCACACAATGGCCATCCCCACTTCTCAGCCCTGACTGCGCCTCCCTGTGCACAGGGGCTGCAGAGGACTTCCTGACTGGTGGAGACGCCTCCCCGTCCCGGAGGCCCCTGATGAAGCAGCCTGCTGCCTCTCTCTTCTGGATGCAGGGAATGGGTTGGTGATGGGGGACAGGTAGGACACTCTGGCCCGAGGGAGGGGGACACCAGGGAGGGAAGAGGCTGGGCCCACCCTCACATTCCCCCAGTGGGCCAAGCTGCCCCCTCCCCGTGGGAAACCTAGGTCAGAACAGATCCCCTTCTCAGAGTCTCCCTCTCTCACCCCAGGCCACCCAGCCCAATAAACATGGATATCCGTTACATACGAAAAAAATTTTTAATTGAAATACTTGTATAAAAAAATATGATCTCCAGACATCTCACTTCTGAACTGAAAGAAACCCCCCCATCCACGATGCCTACACACACCGGGATCACAGAAACACAGCTGCTAAAATAAATTAGAGGCTTGAGACTCTGTCCCCCCACCCCCCCCAGCTTCCAGAGCCAACAAGCACACTGTACAAGTTCAATAATTTAAAACCCTCCCCCTGCGGCACAGAGCACCACAAGGTGGCAGGGTCACCCACTCCCCTTAAATTAGCCACTGTACAAGTTCATCTTCTGACAGACACAGGTGGAGCTAGGGACGTACACCAGGTGCAGGAACCAGGACCTGGGCTCCGCCAACCACAGACACCCCCTCCCCCCCAGGGGCCTGGAGGAGATGCAGCTGCCCAGAGGAAGTAACTCCAACAAATAAATTAAACAATAAATAGCCCCAGCGGGCTGGGGGTGCCCTCCTCGGGGTCACACCATAAATACGACGCTGGCACGCAGACAGGACTCACGCGGGCGTCGGAGGCCCGGCCTTGCATTGCTTGTGCTTGGATGTGCCCAGACGGACACCACAGACTGCAGGGCGCAAGGTGGGAATACGGGACCCTGCCCCGACGGGAGTGCTCCAGGTCACAACGGCCAAAGAAAAGGCCACCTCCCGACCCAGCAGCACAGAGAGGGATGTCTCGGGCTCAAGTATCCACCAGGGCCGGTGGGACCCCCCCCTTCAATTGGAGCTGTTTTTGGACAGGCAGAGCTTAAGAAAACCAAGTCCCGTGGGAGCAGCTTTCAAAAAGGCACTCAAAGCAAAGGAAACAGGCCCGGTGCCAAGAGCAAAGGTCACCAGGAATTAGAGATCACTGCTTTTGCAGGAGGAGACAGCCCAGGCAGAGAAGAACATCACTGTTTTGGGGTGTCGGGGGTGGTAGAGGCAGGTGGTCCCTGGCTCCCACAAGCCAGGTGCAGGCCCCCAAGGCGGAGTCCAGGTCCTCCTCACAAGCTTTCACTGCTGGACGTGGTACTGGCCCCGTCGTCGGTGTCAAGGGCACAGAGCCGCAGGTCACAGCTCTCTGGAGTGTCCCCATCTGTCCCCAGCATCCAGGGGTGGGCCGCAATCTGGTCGAGTGAGGGCCGCTCCGAGGGCCGCAGGGACAGACACCACTCAATGAGCTGCTGGCACTCTGGGGGGAGGAGAGAGTCAGGAAAGGGCCGGGCTCCCCTGCCCCCGACCCTGGCCGGCCCTCTACACACCTGGTGAGACCCTCCTCCGGAAAAAGAGGCGTCCGCGGAGAATCTCCTCATCCTGCTCGAAAGGGATGTCCCCGCACACCATGTCGTACAGCAGCACGCCAAGGGACCACACGGTGGCCGAACGTCCGTGGTAGCGGTGGTAGCGGATCCACTCCGGGGGGCTGTACACGCGGGTGCCTGAGAACACGAACGCTGGTTAGGAAGATCCCCAGGGGCACAGACAAGAGGGCCCCGCAAACACCGCCAGGCTGGGCCCACTCCCCGCTAATTCACTCCTCTGGGGCGGCCGAGAAGCCGGGCTTCAAAGTCCTGCTTGTCACCGCCCTGGAAAAACCCCAGCGGCCGGGAGGGAAAGGGAGGGGAGGAGCGGCCGCCCCTGCAGCCGACCCGCCGGGGGAGGAGCGCGTCACATGAGCAAGGGCTCGGGTTTCACAACAAACAGATGTGATGCGAGGCGACCACGGCGCAGCGCCCGCGGGAGCCCGGGGAGGGCAGCGGGAAGGAGGGGGCGGGCGGGGAGCCCCGGCTTCCCCGCGCTCCGCAATGCGGGGATTTCTGCCGCGGCGCCCCCGCGCTCGCACGCACGCACGCAGCGCCCGGCACGTGGGGAGAGGCCCTGCAGCAGCGCGGCTCGGTCGCGGG